AGGTGTTCCGGGCATGTCCCACTGGGAGGAGGCCCCGGGGAAGACCCAGGACACGCTGGAGGGACTATGTCTCGCTGGCCTGGGAACGCCTCGGGATCCCCCCAGAGGAGCTGGAGGAAGTGGCCGGGGAGAGGGAAGTCTGGGTTTCCCTGCTGAGACTGCTGCCCCCGCGACCCGACCTCGGATAAGCGGAAGTAAATGGATGGATGGATGGATGGATCACATTTTCCATTTGTGGATAAGCCAGGTGGATTCTCACACTGTAGCCATTTATGAGCCATCACCACAAACCCATCTTGGCCTTTATCTTCCTCACAGCTGAAACAGGCCTTTACACAATATTTATGGCAAGAAAAAACTTTTGGGTGTGACCTGAATCTCTGTCTGTTTGTCTGTCGTCATCATCATCATCATCATCATCATTATTATTATTATTATTATTATTATTATTGTTACACACATATCCCTTGCCCATACCATTATCCATGAATGGCTGCAGTAGATAGGTTATTATTGTTAGGTTTAGGATTAAGATCACGGATTTCTAGTTAATATGTATGGTCCAGAGCAGTGAGCAGTAAGGACTCATGTACATCTTTAATATTAAACAGATGGGTAAACATGCTTGTCCAGCATCATGGGAAGGAGCGACACACTTTTCCATCAAAAAAACACTTTGGCAGTGAGGGTGACACAGCCTGTGCTGAGCCTGTCAGCTGCAAAGATGCTGACAGCTATGGCAGCTCCAGCTGTTACTGTCAGTTCTGTAACATTCAGCTTTTGTGTGACTTATTACTTCTCTGCCTCTAAATAACCTGAGAATACATTGCACAAATGCATTTATAATACCATTTGTTGACCTGCAAATAGCTACAGAATATCTAACTATCCAAATTAGTCCACTGCAGTCTTTAAGAATGTTATTCATTGTTATTCATTGCCTTATCAATAGTGGTTGATAATATTTCCTTTTTCATTTATTGCACACTTTAAATGTGAGCTGCTGTATTTCAGTACAGCATGTCAGCTGCTTCAGATATGTCCCCGCCAGCTGTGTGGGCTTTTTCTGCCTTATCCCAGTGCTGAAGAAGAGGTGTCCCTGCACCCTCCATCTCTAGAGATTTGTGGCTTTCATGTGTCACACCAAAAATACTTTTGATGGTTGTGACTGGTCCTGAAACACTTCTGAACCCTGATAGCAGACATTTGGGATCAGATGCCTTTTAAGGTCCAGGCACATAGAGTTGCAGATGAGTCACATTCTTAACCGAGCCTAGACCCACATGGAAAGGCTGGCGCCGCCGGATCGTCTTATTTCATTTCCCCAAAGCCTTCAACACCATCCTGCCTCTCTGGCTTGAAAACAAGCTGAAGATGATGTAAGTGCATGTCCCACTAGTCCCTCAGACGGCAGACTCACTTACAGACAGGTGGCAGTTTGTTAGACT